CCTTTACCGGCTGATTACACAAAGACGACACAATTAGATTAGTCCAAGACAAAAGGTCAAGCACATTCACACTGTGACCATTTTTTGCTACCTTTTGAGGGGGGCAGAAATTACATCCCAGCTGGAGAGATATTTTGGAGAGGAGGAGAATGGGACTGCTGTACCATGTTCTGCCTGGCTCAGATATCTTTGGAGGGTCAGGCAGGGCCTGTCACTGTTCTTGCCCTGAACCTTTCCTGCGGTTGTTGGGCAATGTGGTGGTGGGAGAGATCAACAACCTGCAGCCCACAGCCGGCTTTTCCAAGGATAGGCTGAGCTGAGTGGAGGTCACGTCCTGGTGATGGTCCCTGCCATGCCCAGAGCCGGCAGGAGCCGTTCTGGTGCCTCTCATGCAGCATCATGGCTGAAAATTGGCCTTGGAAGGTCGGTGGGCTGGGTCAGGGCTGAGAAGGGGGGTGGCTGGGGCAGTCGCTGGCTGTTTGACTGGTGGGGTGCGTGCACGTGTCCCCACCCCGCACAGTGATTGCCCCGAGGTGTCCCAGGCCCTGGTGCAGTGGGGACAGCGCGGGAGGCAGCGGGGCCGGGACACGGCGCTGGGGGAGCAGCCCCTGCGAGCACAGCACTTTGCCCTTGCCCCGGGGCGCCTGCGGGGGCAGCGCTGTGGGGGTGGGAACAAGCAGCTCTGGAGGGCAAGCACAGCCGTGCTCCCTGGTGGCCATTCCCTCCCTCGCCTCCTGCAGCCGACACCTGCCCTTCCCCTTGTGGAGGCAACTGAGAGGTTTAACCCTGCCACGCCAGCCTTGAGCTCCCGAGTTCAAGCCTGTGCTTTGCCACTGAGCTGCCGGGGCCTTTGGGGGAATCATTTAATCTCCCCGCTTCAAATTCCTCTGAGTTGGAGAATCCCTCTGTGCTGTCTAGCACTGCCTGTCCATGGCACTCTACATGTTGGATTAAACGTGGATTAGTTCAGCCTCTAAACCAGCTGCTCCCCTGAAGCCAGGTTTGTTTCCCCGGAGAGAAGTATCTTGCTCCAGATGTTGGAGGGAGTGAGTGGCAAAGCTGGGAATAGGACAGACTCCTGACTCCTGAGCCCTTCCTGACATGCCTGGATTCATTTCCAGGAGTTGGAATGGATGGGCAAAGGCACACCAGGCTCTTTTGAGATACTGTTGTGTCAACAACCATCTGCCACCACCCGCCTTGGCCAGCAGTGGGGATGGGGGACATGTCAGCAGGGTGTGTTAGCCCAGCTTGGGAGAGGCATCTGCTTGTCTCAGCAGTGAGAGCCCATGGGGCAGCGGGAAGCCCAGCACTGTCCTGCCCCACTGTGTCCACCACTTCTCCCCTGCCCTGGCTGCCTGTCCACCCTCTCCCAGGGGCTGCGGTGCCCATTGCTGACCATTAAAGCGGAGCTGGGATCCCCCCAGTGCTGTTTGAGGCTGACCCCGGTAGGGACTTTACTCGGGGCCTTCAGGAGGTGAAAGGTGAGCCGAACTCGGAACAAATTAGTTCCAAGCAGAAGTTCAGCCAGTTACTCCAGATTGGATCCTTTGATTTCCGCAACTCAGACTCCACTCAGTGATCTGTAATGAGTGACTCTCAGAAATCCTCACATTGCAGCACTTTGTTCCTGAGCTCACAAGTCAGCCCATTAATGGGTAAAGGAAAGGACCTTGAGTCTAAGAAGTCTCGGGTTCAGAGTCAGAATTATTTGACTTTTAAGCTTCCTTTATCTGAACTCCTGCTGACTTCTTGTTTTCTGAGCCTGTTTGAAAGCTAGAAGTTACATTGTTAAGATCAAACGTTCTCTCTTTCCAGATGGAGTTACAATATCTGTCTTTTATATATATATATTTTAATATATATAGTGTATATATACCAGGGTGTATATATATTCCTCTCTTTTTTTTAATCGTTCTTTCCATTAAAAGAAACTAGACTTGTAAGCTCTTGTAAATTATAATGTAAAACATTTTTTTTAACCAGACAGTTCCCAATTTTGCCCGAGGCAACTGGAATAGCTGTGCCACGGAAGGCAATAGGAAGGTGATTAATATGAATTTGTGACATATTTGAAAGATGGGTCTTTTGCCATATAAAGATTATCAAACACATGTGCTCTTCCCCATTAATTCCACAGCCCTCCCAGGAAAGCCACAAAGCCCAGCTCCTTTGTTTCCAGGGTGGGTTTTTGTTTTTTTAAATGTACCTTTCGGTCCCCTTGATTACCCTGTATTTGATTTTTATAGGGCATCTGCTCACTGCTGTGTGGGTTCTCTGGCCCTTTTATTTCCCTGTTAATCGGATCCCGTGAAGGCAGCGGTGCCAGGGCCTCTGACGAAATCCGTGTGTGTGTTGTATTTAACTTTTAGCCGTGCAAATTCCATGCTCTGTTTGCCGTCTGCCCGGCGGGAACTGGGGGCTGCTTCCCGCCGGGGGAGGCAGCAGGGCCTCCCACGACGACGTGCGCTGCCGCCGGGAGCAAACGTGTGCGGGACTGGCAGGGATGGAGGAGCAGGGATGGGCAGGCCTGGCTCCTTCCAGAGAGTGGGTCGGTGCTTGTCCATCCCTGTGTGTTTGCCGGCCGGGCCAGTGGCTCTGCAGGCTTTGGGGACTGGGGATGGCTGCAGGGCTGGGCATGGCGGGGTCCTGACCAGAGTCGCTGTGCTGGTGCAGTGCCGGCCTCTGCCTGCAGTGCCTTGTGCAAAGCGGGCTCGGTGTCGTGCCGTGCCGTGGGGACCCCTGGCACAGCTGGCCATAGCACAGAGCTGTTCTGCCCCTCTCTCAAGGCCCTGCTCCTTAGGGCTTGGTGCATGCCAGGTTTCTTGGTCAGGGCTCCTGGGGCCACTGAGTTGTTGCAGAGCTCAGCCCCTTTCTCCTGACCGTCCCAAAGCCCTGTCCATGTCAGGGAGGTGACATCCCCTGTGAGGGTGCCATCCCAGCCCCTTGTCACTGCTGGATTAGCTCTGCCCCTCCCGTGGTGCAAGGACCTGGCTCTCCCTTCAGCTGGGCAGTGTGGTCCATTGGGCTCTGCCCGGAGTGCTGTTGGAACCCTGGAGTTGGCTCTGGGACAGGTGGGTGTGTTTGCACCACCGGGCACTCCCACCTGCTGATCCTGGTTTTTCTTTCGTTTCCTGTCTCCCTCTTGGAGTAGAAAAAGTGAAGGGAGTTGGCTTCCAGCTCCTCCTCCGTCAAGAAGGTGAAGAAGCCCCCTGTGCAGGATGAGGAGGAGGTGCGGAGCTGTGTGCAGGGGCAGTGCCGGCTGTCCCAGAGCTGCCGGGGACAGCTGGCTGCCTGCAGCCGTGGGGCAGGATGGGGGCCTTGCTGGGGCAATCACTGCAGTGCTCCAGAGAAAAATGGGAGCCATCCCCTGCCCAGCACCGTGACCCCAACCCCATCTGCCCTCAGAGTGGTGTGACCTCTGGGCACCTGCAACATGTGCTGGAGAGTGGCCACAGGGCTGTGCAGGGCTCTGCCCAAGGCCACCCACGCTGCCCTGTGGCCACTAGTGCAGGCTGTGGTTTATGACTTTTTTTTTACGTGTTCTGTAAATACAGAGCCCATCACTTATACTAGAGCAGAGCCATCCTTAGCCCTGGTGAGGCTGCACAGAGCTGTCTCACCTCCACCTCAGGCAGGCTGGGCATTGCTAACCCTATTGGGAACCCTGGCTGCCGGTGGCTGTCCCGGAGCCCATCCACCTCAGTCACCAGGTGACAGCTGGAGTTGCTGCAGCAGCCCCTGCTGCCTTTGGGGCTGCCAGGTGCTGCTCCAGGCTGCTGCTGCACTGCCCACACCGGGCTGGGGAGCTCCATCCAGCATCCCACGTGCCCAACCCCTGTGCAGGTGCTCACCTCTGGCAGCTGTTGCATGCCTGACACCTACACCTTGCTTGGGTGAGGGGATGCCCCTGCTGGAAACAGTCCTGTTGTCCCCCCACTGTCCGGACAGTTCCTCCTCCTGCTGCCTTGCCCAAGGTTTCCATGTGGTGAGAGGCACCCCTGGTCACTGCACCTCATGTTTTGCAGGGCTTTAGAGGGGCTGAGGCATCGCGGTGGGAGCCCTGGCACAGGCAGCCCTGACTGCGTGCCCCACTCTGGGCTGCTGCCCACCTGCCCACCCCGTGTCCCCTCCACCTGCCTTTCAAGTGTGACTGGCCATCGATCCACCGTGACAATGTCCTCTGAGTCACATTCTTGCCTGCAGGAGTAAAGGGCAAAGGCCAAGTTCTTAGTTTTCATAAAAAACTAATTAGACGACTCCATCGAAAATGGGTCAATAAAGCTGATCGGGGCTGCAGAGGGAGCCAGTACAGCCCCTGTGACCTTTGCATGAAACAAGTGGCTGCCCCTTCCCTCTGGGAGCTGCCCACTTGGTGCCAGCTGGATACCTGCGACCCTATCACCCGGTGGCACCCTGGTTCCGGGCAGGTCTCTTGGGCACCTGGAAACGGTGGCAGTTCTTGCCCAGCTGGATGTGGCTCCCACACTCCCTGGTGCTGCACTTGTGCTGGCTCTGCTGGCTGGGGCAGAGTGGGTGCCCCAGTGCCCAGGGCAGAGCCATGCTGGCCCCAGCCTGTAGCTGAGATGCTCCAAGTGCAGCAGTGGCTGTGTGGGAATGGTTTGCCAGGCTGCAGGGTGGCAGGATAGATGCCAGTGGGATGTGGTAGCGGCTGTCACGCTGCACCAGGTGTGCACCCCTGGGTATGGCCCAGCTGTGACAGGCTGGTGGCAGCCTCAGGGCAGAGCTGCCTTGGGGCACGAGCAAAGCTGAGGTGGTGGTGGGGCCACTGCCCACCCACAGTGCCCATGCTGGAGAGCAGGGCAGTGTTCCCAGCAGCAGGGAACCTTGACCGCCCTTTCACAGTCCAAGACCTTGCCTTTCCGGGGAGCATGGACGTGCCATACCCCAGGGAGCACCCTGCTCCCACCTACCCAGGCGGCACACCCCTGCCTCTGTGCCCCCCCACAAACTCACACGTGCATGGGCACAGCCCGGGCTCCTTTACCCCCAAACTTTATTCATGTGGCACATTTACAGCAAGGATTGGAATAACTAGACAATGAAAATGCTGGGGTTGCATTATCGGTTGGTTTAACTGGAACACCACACACCATGCAGTCATGTACCGCCAAGTTCAGTGCCTGTATTGCCCTTCTGGCTGCCGTCACCGGCTTCGCTCCAGGCCATGCACGCACGGGCCCGGGGCTGCAGCCTCCCTGCAGGTCAGCGCCCGGACGAGGGCTCCATTCAGCAGGGCCCCGGGGCTGGGTGACTCCGAGGGGACGTGCGCCCTCAGCCCGCCCCATGGCTGCCCCCCAACCGCGCCGGCCGGCCGGGAGCCCACCCAGCCGGAGGGGATGTGCTCGGCAACTCTCTCAGGCAACAAGCCAGCTGCTGCTGAGCGTCCGCAGGGACCTGTGAGGGGCACAGCACGTGGGCACGTGGGGGGCCGAGCCTCAGCTCGGGAACCGAGGGAGGTCGGGGGCGATTTGCGGATTTGCGGATTTGCAGCTGCCCCGCTCGGGTGCCCCGGGCCGGGGCCAGCGCGCGCGGGCACGTCCACCGCCGGCAACGGACGCGGTGCTGGGCGCCTGTCCCCGATGGAGCTGGAACGGATGGGCGGGGACGGGGCAGGGCTGGGCATCCCACCCAGCCCCGCAAGAGGCACGAGCAGACGGAACGGGGGCTGGACGGGGCTCCATGCGGACACTGTCACCTCCCTCCTGCCGCCCGCCCGCCCGCCCGCCGGGCCCCCGCCCCACTGAAGGGAGCCCTCTGGGGCCCCGCAGCCCGCGGTGGGGCTGCCAGGGGCTCTGCAGCGGAGAATACAGGCACTTCACCTTGAACATAAAGAGACGGATCGCGTTTGTCACATACAGGAGTCAGAGAGGGGTTAGTGTTGACTCAAAAAGGGGAAAAGGCGCTCAGGGGAGAGGCGGGGGGGGCTGGCGGAGAGGGCGAGGGGCCGTCTCGACACGCTGAGCCTCCGTGAGCGCTGCCCGAGTGCAGGCACACACCGGCCTTGCTGCAGCAGCCATCGAGGCCTGAAAACATAAAACCAGAGAAGAGAAAGAAGAAGGAAAGGTGGGTACGGCCCATGCCGGGGTGGAGATGGGGGATGCTCTGGCTACGGGGCGGGAGAGGGAGGACGGGGTGGGATATGGAGGGAGGGACGGAAATCAGGAGCCAAAGAAAAAGAACAAACTACGAGTCTAAAATGTGGTGCAAGCGCCCTACGCGGCTGTCCGCTAGCATGGCATAATGTCCGGAGCAGCCCAGAGAGGGAGTCACATCAGGTCTACACAGATTTGCCTTCCCATATATACAACCTCTACTGGAGTTAACAGCTGAAATTGAGATTTTTTTTGTGTCGGTTCCTCTGGCCTCGGTTGCCGTTTTTTTTTTAATGCTGGAGCCCGTCCTCCCCGCCTCGCCGGCGCCGGGCGCATGCAGCCCTTGCCTGGCTTGCCTTGGGGATCAAAAGGGTTTGGAGGTCTGCTTGAAGATGAAGCCTCTATGGGCCAGTGTCTTCATGATGTTGGCGATGTTCTTACAGTCATCTGCAGAGAGAGCACAATAGATACTGGGTTAGAGACACAATCCAGGCAGGAGTTGTTTGATCAGTCCCGGAATCCCACGCTGGGGCTGTGTCCCCACCAGTCCAGGCACTCTGTCCCAAGGACCTTGCAAGTGATGTGGGGTGATTGCAAAGTCTCCAGCTCACCGGCACTGGCCACCTGCATCCCGATACAACCCATCCTGAGATGGATCCATGTCCAGGACCTGGAGGTCAGAGTCATCCCCGTTCCCACCAGAGCCAGCCCTTGGTGCTGTCCCGTGCCCACCGACCACAGGGTGACAAGTGGCAGGTGGTCGGGACAAGCAAGCCACAGGCACTCCCAGTGTCAGGCCGTGGCAAAGCAGCAAGACAGGAAGGGGGAAGGCTCTGGCTGGTGTTATTTACCTGGGACTAAACTCAGGCACCGTTTGCTAAAATAGAAGCCGGGCTTAAATTGATTCCTAGTGTCTATATTTCATGTTGAAAATTGGCTTGTAAATCCATGTTTTGATCTATGAGGGCCGTCTCCTTAAGAAAAAGCAAGAGTAAATGTGTAATTTCTCCCTTGACAGCACACGGCGCAGAGGCGATCCTTCTTCCCGCTCCCCTCCGTTTCGGGACAGCTCCACTCGTTCCGATTACCACTCTTTCTTCCTCGCCCCACGCCTTGATGTCTCCATTTCATTACCGCCCGCCCATTTATCAAGCTGTTACCGTAAGGGTGACTTTGCCCACTTGCGTGTGGCAGCGGGGCCCGGCTGACACAGGGAGAGGGTGCCCCAGCAAGGGGGGGCACAGGCAAGGCCCCCCTCTCCCCGCCACTGCTGGATGGATGTTGTGGTGGAGGAAAGGCTGCATCATTACTGATGTGTAAATGATAAAGAAGCCTCCACATCCATCTCCCAACTGTAAATCCAGGGAGTGCTTTATAATCAAGCTACAGCAATAATAATGTGAAATTAGGTCTCTCTATCAACGGGAGGAGGCCTTTTAATCACGGCTTAAAGGGTGCAAACGCTGTTTATCATAATTGAACTGTATCCGGGCTAATTGTGGCCATATTTCACTGTCTAGGAGACAGCAGGCTGCCTGCTGACAGTGCCGTGTGCTGGATTGAGGGCCCCCCGCAGCCGGGCAGCTCTGCCCTGCTGCCAGGAGCCTGCCTGCAGGGACAGGGCTGCCTGGCCCCCTGGACACTCCCTGATGGACCGGCAGTGCTGCCCTGCCCCGCTGCACCCAGTGACATACTGGCAAAGCCATCACCTGTCCCCCAGTGTCACTTGGAGGTGCAGGGGCTTTCCCCATGCACAGCTCCCTGAAAGGCTGGCCTGAGCTGCCGGGGACCATCCTGGCTGATGGTTGGCAGTGGAATAAGTAATGTCCCCATCAGAGCCATGTGTCTCCCAAGTGTCCCCTCAGCCCCTCTCATGGCACTCCTTTCCCTCGCTGGTGTGCCAGGCAGGGGACAGGAGCTGGGCATGAGGACAGCCTGACGAAGAAGGGGTGTCCCCAGCCCACTGATTGGCACAGGGGCAGAGATGAGCCTGTCTCTCTGTGCCTTTGTCCTCTCCGCTGCCCAAGGTGGCACCTATGGCTGCAGAAGGGCCCTGGAGGTGACAGATGTCCTGCCTGGCCAAGTCACAGCGCCAGGTCCCACTGCTGTCACTCGTTCCTGCTCAAGGGAGCCCCTCACTGTCCTTAGGACCCTCTACTCCATCCATCTCACCCCCCAGACAGCTGAACCCCTTGGAGCCAGCTGCCAGTGGGACCTAACAGGGTAACAGTGGCTTAAAAGCCGGGGAAACTGAGGCAGAGGGAGGGCAACTGTCCCACCCAGCCAACCCTTGCCTGGTAGCCCCCAAAACATAACAGAAAAGTAAATCCTGGCCTGTGAGCTGTGGGAGGTGTGTGACAAGTGAGCAGTTTGGATGTGAAAGCACAGGCCCAGACATCCCACTGCCCACCTCCCTGCCTGCAGCACCACCCTGAGCTGGAGTGGGCCACTGTGGCTTGACTATTGCTCCATATTGCTGGAGGGGGAGCTGCACAGAGACCTGGGGAGCCGCCAGACTGGCAGCAAGACCCCACGGCACCTCCTGGGACTTCTGAGCTGGTCCCTGGGGAAACCCTCTGGGACTGCTGGCTGCTTCCTGAACCCCATCAGCTGCCTCCCTGAAGCCCCAGTGTGCTCTGGCACTGGGTGCCAGTGGGACCCTGTGGGGTCAGTGCCAGCCACACGGCTGTGCCAGCAGCACCGTCCTCGCCATCCCAAACCATGCCATGGCCCCTGGCAGCGGGTGCGCCAAGCTCGTCATAAGTCATTTAGTGAGACTCCTTCCAAATCAGTGCTAAGGTAAACACGCTTATTATAATTATCCATGTAAAAAAAAATCAACAACAGCAGAACAACTTTCTAATATGCAATTACAGCCATCTATTGATTTTACAATGTAATCCGCTCCGATTGATTTAATAACACAATTATAGGCTGGCTCTCGGGATATTAGAGTGGGAGATTTTCATAAACTCCAAAGCAAAAAACTAAGCGGCTTTTAAAACAACACAGTCAGATGGCTGTTTGGGGAATTATTAGCAATATGAAATCCTCTAAATCTGGCCGTCGTTACCTTGTGAAAGGAATTTCTATTACAAAAATGGCAATTGACAGCCTAAGAGAGCGCAAACGGGATTGCTCTGCTGCTTTTCAGTGCTTAATCCATCGCAAAGGTGACCACCGGGTGGGGGATGAGTGGAGTCCGAGGCAGGCGGGAGGGCACAAGCAGCCCTGCCCACCCTGTGGCCACTCTCCCCAGCCCAGCTCTCCCCAGGGGACACGTGGCTGTGGCAACGTTGCCCCAGCACCCAGACTGGCACCCACCAGCCCTGTCCCAACTGGGTGACCCTGCCTGGGGCCGCAGAGGCTGCAGGGTGCAGAACACCCTCCTGATCCCCATCCTGGCACACCTGGCACGCCCCAGTCCCAGACACCTCCAGGGGCCACAGGGGTGCCCCCCCGTGTCCCAAGGCTGAGCAGGGGGCTGGGGTGAAGGTGGTCCCACGCTGCCGGCCGGCGCAGCTCTGCGGGTGCTGCAGAGGCTCGCGCGTGCACACGCGTCCCCGCTCTCCTCCCACTCGCTCCCTCAATGTAATCCCGACTTTATGGGCACATTTTTCTTGTCAAGCTGACAGGGTTGCTAAGTGGATTTCTCCCTGATATGCGGACGGATTATCACATTACTCCAATGTCCTACACAAACATATTACTTTATATTCAATAGCCCTAATGAATATAAACTGCTTTTTCTTTTTTTGGGGTGGGGGGTAATCTATAGATTTTTAATGAGGGCACTATTAACTCCCTCCTCTTTAAAACAGACTTGGGTGCAGCCTCTGAGTGGAAAATCAATGGTGTTATTGTAGGAATATTGTATATTGATATTGTAATAATAAGATGCAATTGATTTAGGGGTGTTGTGCGGTGTGTGTGAAAGGGGTCAGCAGGGGGTTATCCTGCCTCCTGTAAACAGAGTGGTGCCTCTGCCCTGCCTCCCTGCCCCTCACCTTGCTGTGCCACTTCCGAGCATCGTCCCATGTCCCAGGATAGCTGGGGCTGAGTTTGCCCTGAGGTGCTGGGCCCTGGCTACCTCTGGGACCCTCCTCTGGCCCAGCTGCCAGTGTAGCGTGGGGTGACGTGACACTTCAGTCTCTTCCTGTCCTGGCTGGCTTAGCCCACCAGGTTTTAAACCTCTGCAATATCACACTGCTGCGAAACCCATGTCCCGGCCCTCTCCACAGCTTGTCAAGCTCTTGCTGCAGTGACAGACAAGGACAGCAGCACGTGCATGTGCATGGGGCAGTGGGACGCTCTCTTAGGGCTGAAGTTTGCCGCAGTTCAGCATTGCTGGCTGCCCTTGTCCTTGGAGGAGGCAGACATTCCCATCACATTCCTCTGCCAGGACAGACGCAGAAATGCCTCAGCCTGTGCTGCTGGGCTGCTTGCCCGGTGAGTGCCCTCCCTCGAACCACTTCATAGCAGCACTCCTGTGAACCCAGGATGAGCTCAAGGATTCCTTCAGCAAGAGTCTGTGCTGCGGGATTGAACTGCCAGGAGCAGTGATGATCACTCTGAGGAGAGCATCCTCTCCACACCCACTCCAGGCACTGGGAGGAAGGGCAGGGGCTGCCACCCCATGCATGGCAACCTGCCGGTATTTCTCCCACCTCTCCCACGGGACCAAACCACCCAGACACCTCCACCACGGAGGCTCAGGGGACCGAGCGCTGCCACAACCGCCGTGCGCTGGGCCGAGACGCTCACGGTGCAAGGAGGGAGCTTTTCCATCCCGGCAGCTGCCCCGGCGGGCTGAGGGTGATCGGGGGACTGCAGGGCCCCCCCAAATGGGCTCATTTGGTGGCAGCCCCACTGCACCTGTGCTGTGGCCGGGAAGACGGATCACCCCCGGCCCAAGCTGAGCAGGTCCATATTTAAACTGTCCCCATGCTTTATGGGCTGTACAAGAACTGATGCTCAGGCGCCGAGGGGCCATTTGTCAATGTTCTAATGGCAGATTACTGTTAATGAATAATATCACCGCTGCCTTTGAATAACAGCTCCCTGCAAAGCGGAAACAAGGCCGCCAGGCCGCCGCCGCCCTTCGCCTCCCCGCTGCCGACCCCGGGTGACAGCAGCTGGCCTTGTGACCAGCAGGAGCCGTACGGACCCCCCGCAGCCCAGCACTGCTGCTGCTGTCCCCAGCAATCACGAAAGGGAGTGCTGGGTGTCGTGTCCCCACAGTGGGATGCGCTGCTCCCCATGAGCGGGAATGTCCCCAGCAGGGGACAGCCATGAGGGGCAAGAAGTGAGTGTCTTCCCAGCATGCGGAGCCAGGCTCTTGCAGCTCCTCACCCTGCCCATACTGGAGCCAGGAGGAAGTTGTGTCTCATCTAAATCTATCCCCACCACGATGCCAGACGTAGTGGTGACAAGTATGTGCCAAAGCC